TATTTTAAGTACTTTCTCCGTGGTTCCTTCCTCTCCCTTAGGAGGAACCCACTTGAGAAATATCCCTGTTTTTAGCAACATCCTCTCGACCATGGCCTTCTTGTGGCTGGAAAGCATAGTGCCCTATTATAGGGATGATGCCAGACTAAAAGGTGCCCTGTGGGTTGAAGCGGTGTTCCCACCTTGATAAGTATGTAACTTATTAGTACCCAGTAACTTCAAAGTTGTACAGATGATGACAGAACTGCCATCCATTAGCAGTTGTACTGTGGTGGCTATCAAGACCAGGGGTCTATTAATTGGCTTCTGTGGGAGATGCAAGATTCCATCAGAGGACTTGACCTAAGGAATACTCCCAAGGATTGCCTTGGGGCCACTTGGCAGGAGCTTACTGGCTGAGTTGCTGGTTCCTCCCATTGGTCTTCAGCTCTGTATATAGCCATCTCCTTTTGATGAGTATTCTGGTCACTTGAAGAAACTGAGAGATCCAGAAAATACCTGTCAAGACCCTCCTAAAGTAACTTTGCCAACAAGTCAAAGTGCAGGATCAGGCTTGCCAGGGGTCCCTGTTCATATACCTGTAATCCACAGTAAGTCTCAGGGCAGATTTCTTGAATATATAGTAGCATTGCCCAATTAGAGTCCTCGCCACCTCCATTGGGATAAGAAGCCTTCACTAGAGATGAAAACATTAACACACAAGGCCTGGAAGCCCAGAACATGTCTCAATCATGGAGATGTTCTAATCAGCATTTCTCAAAATCTTTTTGCATTATAGTCATTTGGGATAGACATTTAAAAACCTCACAGCAAAGGCTTGGTAGACTGAGAAAGACTATGACAATATGGGGGTTTTGTTGTTTGTTTTTGGAGGCAGAATCTTATGTAGCCTAGGCTGACCTTGAGCTCCCTATACAGTGAAAATTGGCTTGAACTTCTGATACTCCTGTACTCTGTAAGTGCTGGTATTATGGGTATAAGTCATCATATATAGTTTATGTGGTGCCAGGGATTGAACCCTGGGCTTCATTCATGCTAGACATGCACTCTACCTGCCAACTTATATCCCCAGCCCCCAAACACCCATTTTTAGCAACTGTTCATAGGATTCTTTTTTGTATATTTTATTTCATGTGCACTGGTGTTTTGCTTGCCTATATGTCTGTGTGAGGGTGTTGGGTCCCCTGGAACTGGAGTCACAGACAGTTGTGAACTACTATGTGGGTCCTCTGGAAGAGCAACCAGTGCTGCTGAACCATCTCTCCAGCCCCCCCTTTTAAACGTTTGTTTGTTTTTGTTTTTCAAGATGGGGTTTCTTTTGTGTAGCCTTGACTGTCCTGGAACTAGCTCTGTAAACCAGAGTGGCCTCAAACTCAGAGATTCCCCTTCCCCTGCCTCCTGAGTATGGTGATTAAAGGTGTGTGCCACCACCGCTCAGTACTCACGCTGCTTACGTAGGACCCACACTTGGAGGATCAGAGTTCTAAATATTTTGAAACATCAGTTACAATTAAAGTAGACATTTTGTGATTGTTTCAGTTGCTTGGAAACCAACTTCTGGATCAGAATTAGAATGGGCTAGCTTTAAGGGAACTGGCAATGTCTAAGAAAGTTGGTAGTTCTACAATTTTTAAAATGGATATCATGTCCAGTTAGGTTAGTTTGGGTCTGTTTGGTTGTTCTGGAACTGGATGGTTCTTTAGTATGTTACCATGGAAATGTTCTTTCTTACAGAGAAGAATCTCCCAGTGATCGGGCATTTTTCATGTCCTTTCCCATGAAATGCTGTAGAGTTTCTTTCCATCACGCCCACCTGACTTTTCTGGAAGCTGGAATAGTCAGGAGAGGCCAGGTCCCCTCTGATCCAGTCCCATTAGAAAAATGAAATTCCTTTCTCAGCACTGGATTCGATGATGCTGACTTGGGTACTTAGGCAGAAGTGGGTGGGCAGAGGCATCCCAAGGCTAAGGAGAGAACTAGAGACACTGCTCAGTGGCAGAGCACTTGCCTGGTCCAGGGCAGGGGGTGGGGGACAGACAAGGTTCCCAAGGCTATTGGGAAGACACTTTGTGTCCCCTTAACTCCTGTCTGCATTCCTAGCTAGAGAAGGCATGCCCCTCCTGCAGCATTTACCAGAAAGGTCACATGACCTTCATGGATACCGGTCTTGTGACTGCTGACAGATTGCTTTGTTACCTTCTTCCTGGGGTTCTTGTTGAAGGCCAGAGAGACATTCTGGTGTTCTTCCTTTAGGGTGTTACCCACACAATGACCAGGTGGCCCCAACTCACTAGAGGACTAACCTTGTGTGATCTGAGTTCTTTTGGTTACAGGCCCTCCCCTACCAAAGACAGGACCCAAGGTTGAAAATGAGTAATTAGTCTTTTTTTTAAAAAATTTTTGACGTCCTATATGGCCCCCAGTCTGGTCTGAAATTCACTGTGTAGCCCAGGTTGGACTTGTCCTTGAACTCCTCCTCCAGTCTCCCAAGTGCTGGGATTACAGGTGTGAGCCACCACGCCCTGCTGAGCAATCAGTTTTTAAAGAGGGAGTTAGTGATAAATGTTCCCTTGAAGTTTCCCTGGGATAATTTTATGATCACACCGGACCAGGTGCAAAGCCACTGCTTACCCAAGTGTACCTAAGAATAGCAGTGGGAGGCTAGCCCAGGGACAGGACAGGCACTCAGTAATATCTTTTGCTGTTCTACCTAGGTTTATTCGTTTGGGGAGTTTTTTGTTTGTGTGTTTGTGTTTTGAGACAAGGTCTCACTTTGTAGCTCTGGCTGGCCTGGAACTTGATGTGCAGGCCAGACAGGCCTCAAATCCCCAGAGATCATGGGGCTGAAGTGATGGCTCAGAGGTTAGGAGCACTGGCTGTTCTTCCAGAGGTACTGAGTTCAATTCCCAGCAACCACATGGTAGCTCACAACCATCCGTAATGAGATCTGGTGTCCTCTTCTGGCCTGCAGGCGTACATGGAGGCAGAACACTGTATACATAATAAATAAATCTTAAAATAGAAATCTCACAGAGACCCACCAGCCTCTGTCTCCTAAGTACCGGGATTAATGTTGTGCACTAACACACCTAACAACCATTAGTTATATTTTGGACTCAGGAAAAACTTACCTGTCCCAAGTTTGAGGACAACCTAAGCACATTATTTGAGAATTAAACAAGACTGTACATCTCTGCATGTGGATGTTATCTCATGGGATTCAGTTTGTAGAAACTAGATCAGAGTGACAAAGGTAAATTCCTAAGCACAAAGTGTTTTCAAGGGGGCTGGAAAAATGGCTTAGCTGTTGAGAGCACTGGCTGCTCTTCCAGAGGCCCTGAGTTCAATTCCCAGTAGCCACATAGTGGCTCACAACTGTCTGTAATGGAATATGATGCCCTCTTCTGTCATGCAGGCATACATGCAAAATAGGGCACTCATGGGCTTGAATAAATAAACCTTTTTTTTTTTAAAGTGTATTGAGGAGGCTGGAGAGATGGCTCAACTGGCTGCTTTTGCACAGTGCCTGGGTTTAGTTAGCAGCGTTGACAAGGTGGCTCACAATTGACTGTAACTCTAGTGCCGGGTGATCTAGTGTCTCTTGGCCTCAGTGGACATCAGGCATACACAAGGTGCGCATATATTTAAGCAGACAAAACATCCATACACATAAATAAACTGGGATTTTGTTTGCTTGTTTTTGAGACTTGTTATCACAGTATAGCCCTGACTGGTCTGGGACTCATTATGTAGTGTAGGCTGTCATCAGACTCACAGAGATCCACCTACCTCTGCCGTCTGAATGCTGGACTAAAGGCTTGTGCTAGCACAGCCAGCAGTGTCTTTTTAAAGAAATTCCCTATGTCTGAGCTTGAACTTGTAGCACACACTAGTAACCCCAGCACCGTAGAAGTAGAAGCAGGAGGGCTAGAGAGACAGCTCAGTGATCAAGAGTACCAGCTACCCTTCCAGAGCATGTGGGTTCCATTCCCAGCAAACGTAGCCGCTCACAACTGTCTGTAACTCTAGTTCCAGCATGTCTGACACAGCTCTTCACACGTGTGGTGCACATATATATGTGCAGATAAAAAAATATGCACAGATAATAAAAATAAATCTTAAAAACAAAATCCCTGTGAGTTCAAGGCCAGCCAGAACTGTCTCAACTCTGTCAGGGCAGTATTTGAAGATCTCCAAGTGCTGGCAGTTACCAGTCAGCTAATAAACAAGCTGGCCATTGCTGAGCCCATAAAGACAGTTTAGGACTTCAGAGGCCTAGGAAACCCCCACACCCACCCCGAGAGGGAGGTAAAAGTGAGTTCTGGAGAGTTTGAATCTGGAAAGACATGTAATCTCATAGCTCATCTCGTAAGTGACCACCAGGGGAGCTGGAAGTCTGAGCAGTGATGGTGGGCCAGCATGTAGCCTCCCTGCGCCCATGCATTGTACATGCACATATGTGCTTACACAGATGCCTGCTGTTTGAGGGGTCCCCCACTGAATTAGATCCTGACTAGCAAGGGAGCTGTATCAGGCAGGTGCGGCCTTAGCCCAGAGTCATCATACAGAGATGCCCGGGAGTTCGAGGGTTCAACCCATACCACAAATGCCCCAAGCAGGCCTGTGGTTAAAAGGCTTTCCCATTCTACCATCACTGCCTATCTGTCTGGAAAGCCGAAGTCTGTCTGTTGTATGCTGCTAGACCTGTATTCTTCTTCAAATTCAAAGTCTGAGGGTCTAAGCTATCTGTGCCTGTCCTGTTTCCAGGCATGTTCCAACCATCAGAACCTCCCAGAGTTGTAGTGTGCAGCTGTCTCACACACTCAGAAACTTGGCCAGTCACAAAGCACTTTTTTAAAATACAGGGTCTCATTTCTTTTTTAAAAAAATTATTTATTTTTATTCTATGTGCATTGGTGTCTTACCTGCATGTATCTCTGTGTGAGGGTGTCAGATCTTGGAGTTACAGGCAGTTATGGGTGCTGGGATTGAACCCCAGTCCTTTGGAAGAACAATCAGTGCTCTTAACTCCTGGGCCATCTTTCCAGCCCCAGGGTCTCTTTTCTTTATGTATCCCTGAATGTCTAATTTGCTGTGTAGACCAGGCTGGCCCCAAAGTCACAGAGATCTACATGCACCACCACACTCCTTCCAAAGCATTCCTTAATAACAGTGGTTATGGAAATAGCCCCGCCTGCCAGGCTTGGTCCAAGTGCTGCGCCCTGTCCCATTTTGTCCTCATGGAAGTTTGTAGGCAATGGAGCGTTTTCTTCCCCTTTGATAGATGAAGAGCACGAGGCTCAAAGATGCAGGATAACCAGCTACTCAGGGCCACACGTCACCTCCATGGTGGGGTGGAGCATGTCCACAGCGCGTGGCTCTGCTGCTGCTAGCCAACTGCCTGCTCAACAGCGGTTGTTTATCAATCACCTCCCATGTGCCAGGCATTTTTCTTGGTGTGAGCCAGCAGATGAATCCCACACCTCCACAGGGCTGCTGTCCTTGAGCCTTCCTCCTCTGGGGAGGGATTATCTTAAGTTGTATCTTTGGGTGCATCATCCAGCCCCTTCCGCACTGTCTGTTGTTGATCTCTGAAGCCCCTTAGAGCCGTCCCAACCTTCCCCTAGGGAGATGATGGCTGAGAGCTGGTGTCCCCAGATCCGTGGACCTCGTATTCTGAGGGCCAGGAAACACCTTCATGGCGCACTGGCCTCACCTAGAACTCATGCCTTGTAGTCTCCCTAAGGCCTCCTTCCTCAGGGGTGTGGCGCCTCCCACACCTCCCACAGCAGGCCGCAAGGAACTCAGTCTCCATCTTGGCATACCTTGTTGGGCCAGCCTGAGAAGAGGCTTGGGGCCCATTAGCCCTCAGGCTCCTAGCCCTGCCACATCCACATGGCCTCCAGCCTGCTTTTCTGTGCATCTCCCCACACAAAGAGCCTGGGTGCTGTGGCTGGCTTCAGCTGCTGAAGTGGGGAGGGAGGAAAGCAGTGAAAAGCTCTTCCGAAAGGCCTGGGCGAAGGCAGGAGCCACCCAGGTGATGGGAGCTGGTCCCCCGGGACCCCGACCCAGGACCACAGTGAAAGGTTACTGCTAATTGGCAAGCTCCTGATGGGGCCCTGCATCTATTTAGCACTCCCCCTCCCCAGAGACTTCTAGGATGGTCTTGGCACAGTGTGTGATTCGAGAGCTCCCTGGGAGTCTGGCACAATCTGTCTGAATTGTGAACATGGAGCCTCTTGGCTTCCTAATTTGTACTGGTGTTGTCGTGTTTCTCTGCCCATTGTTGCTGGTAGATTTAGGAGCCCCTCAGCCACCCTGACTTTGGTACCCTCCCCCAGACCCAGTGGGCGCCCTCTTCTCTGCAACCTCTAGCCAGACTGTTGGAGGCCATGCTGGGCCAGGGAGCAGCAAAGTCCCTACCCCCCTCCCCTGACCTGTGGCCTGGCCTCAGGGCCCAGCTCTCACCCACCATCAGCCCTGACACTAACACCGCTTGTCCATCCCGTCACAGGGGGCAGATGGCCTGTCGGAGCCGGAGGGCATCTCTCTGAAGCGGGTTGCTGTGGTGGAAGATTTCTTTGACATCATCTACTCGATGCACGTGGAGAGCTCCGCAGAGCCAGGCAAAGCCCCCAAGCACGCTGGGCAGAAGAAAACCTACCGAGCGGTGAGATTTCTGTCTCTGCCTCTGCTGGCAGCCCCAGGCCTTGGCAGAAGGCCATGGGCTCCGCACATGTTGGGCGGGAGGCGGGGCAGGGAGCTGAGGCGTGATGAAGCGGCCTTTGGGGATCCAGGGGGGCATGGGGCAAGGGCATGGCAGCCAGAGATGGCTCACAGGGTGAGGGGCGGGTTCTGCGGTCAGAGCACAAAGGAGAAGCAGGTTGAAGGGAGGGAGAGGGAGAGAAGGAGAGGGGTTGGGCAGGGCAGGGAGGAAGCCCTCCTTCCCCAGTTTCAGCCTCTTGTAGCCTGCTGGGGGAGCACAGATAATAAGAATCGCAGGGGCCAGTGCTTCCACAGCATGGCATGGACTGCTTGCCAGCCTGCCCTAGATGCCTCCTGCGTGCGAGCTTAGCCAGGTTACCACACACTGTCAGCCAGCCCTGTGAGTTCCCCAGAGGCTCTGGGTCCGAGGACCTGCTTCCTACCTTCAAGAGGTCACAATTTTGGGCCAGAGAGGCTGAAGGCAGAGAGATAAACACAAAAGGAGAAATGTCTCCATGACCCGCTTTCAGAGAGCAAGAACCCCATACCTAGGGACTTCATGGAGAAGGCATCCTGTATACTGGCTACCTCTAGGAGGGCAGGAAGGAGTGGAATGGCTCCCTAGAGAAATAGTATACACCAGGGAGTTGGAAAATAGGACTGTGGATAGAGCAGTGGCCCCAACCTTCAGGAGACTGCTAAGCCAAGGCCTCCTCCGGTATTGGCCCCACATGAATCTGTACCTGTGGCTCATGCCCAGGTCTGAGCCCACAAGCCAGACATTGTATTCTCAGCTGAGTCCTTATGGCCCTCCTGTGACTAACGCACGGTGGTTCGTTTCCTAGTTAAAGGAACAGACCCAGAACTTCCAGACGCCTGTCCTTGGTCACACAGACCCTGAGAAGCAGTAAGCTGGTGTCTTTCAGGCCCTCCAAGGTCACGCAGACCCTGAGTAGCAGTCAGCTGGCATCTTCCAAGCCCTCCATGTTGATCTTCTCTTTAGAATCCTATAGTTCTGTCTTTCTAGGGCCAGGCTTGCCCCCTATACCAGGTGTGAATGTCTTGAGTACTGTGTGTAGACAGCCTTGGGCAGTCGTGGAGATGGCCTATGTAGGTAGGATTTCCCCACATGGCCCAATTCACAGGATCCAAAATTCTGGAGATCCTTGTCCTCAGGTGATGGCCGTTGTCGGAATGGTTATTTAGTTCCTTGCTTTCTCACACAAGCCTGTGTACCATGCGAATACAGTACCCATGGAGACCAAGAGATAGCATTAGGATCTGGAGTTATCTATAATTGTAAGTTGCTGTGTGTGTGCTGAGAATTGAACCTGTGTCTTCTGGAAGAGCAGCCGGTGCTCTTAACCACTGAGTCATCTCTTTTTAGGATGGGTCCTCTGCTCGGGGCCTAGAAAAGTGAGGAACCAAGCTGAGGGCCATAGGCTGGTCACTCTGTCTTCCCACCCTTCCTGCTGGTAGTATATGTGCCCATGAGAAAGGAAGCCAGTCTGAGGTTATTTCCAAATGAAGCTGTCGAAGGAAGGACCATCAGTCTGAACCAGGAGGGTCCCCTTAGGATCGAGAAGACAGTGGTTGCTCATCATTGAGTCTAACATAGCGCTGGGCCCATATGCCAGGCTGCATCCTTGTCCCTTTCCAATTTCACCTTCTAAGTCAGATCCATATAAAGGCCACAGGCATGAAGCAGGTCCTCCTGTGAGCCCCGTTTTAAGGTGAGAGCCACAGCCTGCCTGAGGTCACCCAGCTGGGGCAGAACCTGGCAACTGACCAGTATCTATGCTTCCTTGCCACAGGTCTCCTGAGGCAAACTATCATGCCAGCTACTGGCAGTTGTCAGGCACGTGGGCTTGACTGTCTGGATCTGGTGACTTCTCTGGCTCCTTAGTGCCCAGCACCAAACCTGGTTGACAGGCAATCCTCAGTGGTGTCTGAGGCCTCTGAGACATGCAGAGGTTGTGGGTGAGTTGGGCCGGCCTTGCTAGCCCTTGTGTGCTGGACTAAGTGCATGGACAGCTAGCCCTTTACACTTCCTGGCTTCTGGTCTATATGCTGCCATGTGCCCCATTTCTCTGATCAGCCTGGAGCTGGCACATGACTGGCATGGAGCCAGCTGGGCTGCACACACAGCTGGAATTTCAGCACAGGGCCAAGGCTGAGCCCAGCAGGCCAGGTCCCTTCTGCAGCGGTTCACGGCCAAGGAGCCAGTGCTTCCTGCTCCCCTCTGTGCCTCTCAGCTCTTCTCTCTCTCTCCTATCTGCCACCTTTCTTGTGCCACCCTCTTTCTGTTTCTGGGGCAGAGGTGGTACCTGGATGCCTTGTTCTCTTCCTCTTATCTCCTTCCATTTCCCACCACCCCAGCCTAGCTCCTCAACCTTGCTCTGGAGCTAGGAGCTCCCCCACCTTGCCCATTGCCTTTAGAAATAGCCCCCAAGCAAACCCTGTGCTGATGGCTGTAGAGGCACAGCCTGGCACTGCAGGGTTTCATCAAGCCCTCGGATGAGTGGTTTTTGGATCTGTCACTGTGGATTTTGCCAAAACTGAACCCTGGGTCTGATTTTCCACCTTTAAGGCACAAAGATTTGAAAATGTTTCCAGGCCTGAAGTACCTTAAGGGGTCAGGAGACAGTAGGGGACTGGGCAGCTGTGTTCATTACACTAAGGGAGGCCAGTTCTTCAGGAGAGGAGAGAGTCTTTCTAGCAACGCCATGAATTAGAGAGGAAGGACTATGAGCTTGTAGGGCCTGGAGTCTTTAAGAATCAGGACAAAAGGCATTTCCATCAGATGATACAGGGGGAGCCCCCTCGTGAGCAGGGAGCCCCACCATAGCCTTCCAAGCAAGGTAACCCAACAGTCCAAGGATCCCAGGAGTTTCACAGTGCTAAACCCACAGAAAGTCCAAGGTTGCTTCAGGTTCCCTGAGCCCTTTTCTCAAATGCTTCCCTGATCTCACTCAATCAGGGTTGAAGGAACCCTTTCACTTCCTCTTCCCTCCAGGGATGCTAGAGGCCAGATCTGGCTACTCAGGCCACTTTGGAGTTGAGGCCAGATGTGGTCAACAGCTGTTCCAGGCCCACCATGGTGCTAATCCACCACAGGGCAGAAGGAGGATCTTGTAAAGGGGTGCAAATCCCCATCCCACCTGACCCCACCCACCTCGCTGGCTTCTGAGTTGGGAAGCGAAAATGGGCCTTGCGAATCAGGGACTTGACAAGTAGTTTCTGCTCCCTCCCTGCCCATGAAATCTCTCAGTTTTTAACACTGGAGAAAACAGAAAAGGGAAATCCACACATGGTTTCAAGGTCCCAGCAGGAGACTCTGAGAGCTACACAGCAGGCAGATCAGGGCAGCTGAGGGAAACCTAAGTGGGGACAGGGCCCAGCCCTGGAGCCTCTCCTTCCAGAATACACAGGCAGCTCTCTGGTTCTGTTTTGTACATGTGTATCTATTTCTGAAACAGGGTCTGGAGTCATCTGAAAGCCTCCATCCTCCTGACAAGATATCTTGTGAGGATTTCCTTTCTGGTCTCGTGTGTGTGTGTGTGTGTGTGTGTGTGTGTGTTCGAGTGTTCTGTTCTTGTGGGTCTGTGGCATCCCGGCACTCAGGCAGAAACAGAGGCTCCATTTCTAGTCCTGGACCAACCAAAGGGTGAATCAAAAGATGCTGGTGGTGTCTCTGGTCGTACAGAACCGCTTCCCCAGGCTTCCTTCCACGCTCTGCCCCGCTCTCTGACAGCTCCAAGGATTTCTCACCTCTCTCATTCCCCTGTGGGACCCCAGGTCATAAGATGTATTCCCGTTGCACAGCCAAGACCAGGAGATCGTCTTGGTCACCATCCCATCCTGGAAACAGGCTCCTGTGTATGCTGCAGGCTAGGCAGCAAGAATAGCCATTCTCATCCTGTGTGCAGCGCTAGCAGAGCAGCTGGGCCAGGGGGCTGTTATTATCCTTTGAAGTGACTGTCCAGTGCGGGTGAGCAGGGAAGCTTGGTTAGACTCTGGCATGAGCCTCCTCCTCCTCCAGCTTACTGTAGCTCTCTTCCCCACATCCACTCAGTTCTTCTGAGGCCTAACTTTGGGAGCAGTATTTCAGGGGTGTCCAGGACCTCGTCTTTTGGCCAGTCAGTCTGGGCCTTGTTTCTGCCTGGGCCTCACTCTTCCTCTTGCTGTCCTACAGTTGAGCTATTATTCCCAATCAGCATGCTCTGAAAGGGACTTCCAGGTCTTTAGGCAAGGATGAAGATGCCCACTTTCCTAGTGGAAAACCCTCACCTTCCAGCCCTCATTCCCAACCTTGTCCTCTTCCTCCACTGTGGATCTTCCATTTGTGGCTGCAGCCAGAGATGCTAGGGTTGGCCCTTGTCCTTGACCTCCAGAGCAAGGCAATCAGGCAGGGGATTTAGAAGGGAGATAGCTCATCAAAGAGACTGCCTGCTCTGCAGAGCATCAAATCAGCTGAGAAGTAACAACTGTGTCACCAAAATTAACTTGAGTTTGCAGCTGGCAGGAGTAGCCATGGAGCTAACACTGAAAGCCTTGAAGGCTTGTCCAAAGGGAGCTGCTGCAGGACAGCAGGACATGCTAGCCATCTACACACCCCAACTCTCCTTTCCTCTAGCAGCAGAGATTCAGAATGCCCGCGAGTCCTTGTCCCTGGTCCCTATAGAAGCTACTGCGGGCTGGCCACAGGCAGACCCAGTGCAGTCCAAGTGGCCCCAAAGCTCTAACCCAACTTTCTTGTAAGAACAGGAATGCTTGGTGATGCTGCCCCCTAGTGGAGAGGAGCGGGAGAACCGAGTTCTCAGCAGCACGTAAGGGGATCAATGGCTTCACATGGACAGCCAAAGAAGAACCAAAGAGTTTCCCAAAACTTAGAGCAAAGTTGACCCTCTTACTAGATTTCTAGGCCCACACTCACCCTTCCTGCTTCCTACCCAGCCTTCTCATGTTCTCTCTATTCCATCTCCACTTCCTCCCTCCTACCAGCTCGCCTCCCTCGTTATGGGATGGTGTCCCCTGCAGCACTGCCTCTCAAGAGTTGTGTGACCTCAACTGAATCTTTAGTTACGAGGATGAACATGAAGGTCCCCAAGTGGTACAATGTGGAAAACTGGATGCCCCCAAATCAGCCTCCAGTAGCTCTGCCGGAAAAGGCTCTTGGCCTGTGAGTTAGCCAGGACATCAGCGGTAGACCTTGGGCTCTGTTAGTAGGCCAGTGAATTTACAAGTGGGTCTTAGTTTATACATCTCAGAGCAACGCTCATGAGCTCACCCTTTAGTGACAACAATACAGAGTTCTAAGAAGAGTATTACTTACTAAAGGTTAAAAACTAGATCATGTCCAAATGTGTTTCATTTGCAGTTTTTAATCTCCTTTATTCAAGTTTTAAAAAACAAGTGGCTCGTTTCACAGCAAGGACTGGAGGCCATTGGCCTTGTAGCTGGTGACTAAGAAGCCGCCAAGGTGGCACATGACGTGAAAACTGTTTTCTGGCAGATCGCGGAGACCTACGCCTTCCTCCCCAGAGAGGCTGTGACTCGGTTCCTCATGAGCTGCACGGAATGTCAGAAGAGGATGCACTTTAACTCCAGCGGCCCGGAGCCCAAAGGTGGGGGCACCTGTTCCCAGAGGCCAGTGTGCTTGGTGGCACTGCCCCAGAAACCTTGTTTGGATTTATTTGACTTTTTAATTAATTAACTGCTTGTTTGCTTATTTGTTTTTGAGACAGAGTCTCACTGTATAGCCCAGGCTGACTCGGAACTCTCAGCCTCCCTGCCTCAGCATCTCAAATGCTGGGGTTATGTGTGCACCACTACAAAGCTTTCTTGTTTTTGTTTTTTTAACGTTAAGTTTTACCTAAGTCAACAATCCGTCCATCCTGCCTTTCAAGGCTTAGGCTAGCCTCTCTCCTCCCACCTCATTTCTAGTTAAATGGGTACCCTAGCTGGGCGGTGGTGGTGGCACATGCCTTTAATCCCAACACTCGGGAGGCAGAGGCAGGTGGATCTCTGTGAGTTCGAGTCCAACCTGGTTTACAGAGTGAGTTCCGGGACAGGCTCCAAAGCTACACTGAGAAACCCTGTCTTGAGAAACCAAAAGAAAAGAGAAAAGAAACGAAAAGAATGGGTAACCTTTCTGTTCTCTGAGCACTGCCTTCTAGCCACTTGGCCTTGCCCCTGGGGCTATTTCTCCTCTCACACACATGGGTCTTGGTCTCTGAAGAGAGACACATACCCCGTGAGTCATGGTCCTCTTACCCTTTGGTCCTTAACACCTTCTAGTATTGTGTCCTCACTGAAGTCCGCTCCCTCCCTGTGCACACCCATGTGACCTCCAATCAGGAGATCAGTGAGGACTGATGACCACTTGTAAGTAGATGAAGTTGTCCCTTGCTATGTTCAGCCCAATGAGAACATCAAGGGTACCCATTCAATATCTCCCCACGCTGTCAACCATAACAGCCCATCAGAGTTTGTCTAGTTGCGGCTGGCTTTAACTGTAACACAGGCCAGCACATTCCCATGGCTCCAGTGTGTCATGGGTTGGAGGGACACTGATCAGAGTCCTTACCCATAACATGCTGTGCCTCTTCTGGCTTCAGGCCTGCAAATGATGAGCCATGGTCAGCAGGGCAAGGGGGGAGGGGCAGTGGCCTGACCATGAGAACAAAATAGGAATGGAGAGGAAGCCGCTTATCCAGGTAGAACTCTTGTGGCCTCTACCCACCTAGGGAGAAAATGTCAACCATGTGATGATAGCCGGGTTACAGGAGCACAGGCAGCAGTAGGGTTTTCCTATGTGTGCCCCGAGGCACCTGAGCAACTTTTGATACCAGCTGACTCACCAAATCAAGATGGTCTGCTGCCTGGGAACCACTAGTCCATGGACACCTGTCAGGCACATTAACCAGAACCCATTAATGCTCTTCTGTTGCTGAGAGCAGGCTCCTAGGCCAGGCTGTGAGGCTGTAGACCTCGGCTGTGTTTGGAGTTCGGAAGGGTCCCTACTCAGAGGACTATGAGAGAGTGGCCCTATGAGATGCTTGTCACACTACCACATATAAACTGGCCCTAGGGCCAAGCCAAGGTAATCCTTGGTCTGTCCTGCCAATGGGCCTGGAGAGCTTTTCTCTGTGTACTCCCAACACTACAGGTTTAGGCCCCGTGCTAACTGCCTGGATTCTGCCCACCCAAGTATGTTGGTCCTCTCCTGTTCCTGCCCTAATTGTTTCCATAGCAACTGAAGGAGTCAGGCACAAAACTGCTGCCTGAAGGAACAGAGGCAAGGCTGCCCTGGGGGACTGTTGGCCTCCCAGCTCTCCTGCTCAGCTTCCAACTGTGAGGAGGGTGCTCCTCCCCAAAGGCTGCAAGGCCCACGGGCTGGGGCTTCTCTGTGAGGAGCCTAGCAGCAACTTGCTCCCTCTCCACTGGCTGCCTCCACCTTAGGAGGATCCTTCCCACCTCCAAATCCCAGGAAGGAGGAGAAGGGGGGAGAAGGGGGACTGCTCAGAGCAGGGAACTGCACAGAATCTAAACCAGCTTGAGGACTAAGTGCTGAACCTCTCTCCTGGGCTTGTATTGACAGGAGAGAGGACAGGTGCCTGCCCATCTTCAGTCCTGGGCAGCTGACCTCCCACTGCAGAGAGAGGGCTACAGGAAATCAGACAGCACACAGCCTGTGGAAGAGTAGGCACCAGGCCAGGGGTCCTGGCGTACAGTCCTGTCCCTGCTGTGTGTCCCACAGCAGGGTAGGGGACCTCTCTGAGAATCTGTTGCTCATAATAGCCATGAGTTGTCAGTCCTGGCATATAACCAAGGAAACCAAGACCCCAAGAGGTGCTGAGTGAAACCACTCATCCAAGCTTCCCTCACCCATCTCCCTGGAGAGGAAAGCAGCAAAACTGTCTTTCTCGTCAGCAGAGTGGAGGGATGCACTGTGCAGGGCCTGGGACCTGGATACCTTAGGAACATGTGCCCATTGTTAGGTTGTGGTGCTTAGGCCCAGGTGACTTCCCCTCCCCGCCTAGACTCACAGCCAGTGACCATAATGGTAAGGTTAACCCCCACCCTCGGCAAAATAGCTGGGTCCACACATGTGCTAGATTTCAAAGGGAAAGTTTGGTTTCTAGGATGCCAGTAAGGAAGTCTGGAGTCTGAATGGCTCCTTCTCTGCTCCATGGCTTGGGGCATCAGCCCCTAAGTCCTTGTCGCCAGTTTTCTCCCTGGCAGGAGAGATCTCTACTCTATGTGTTCTCTCAGGTTGCGTCTCTGCCTGCTAGCCCTTCCTTCCCCCAGAGGCAGGCCTCTTATTCCTGGCCCAGGAAGGTGGGGAGGAAGGGGGACAGGGGACAGGATGGAGTCTTCTCTGGAGGCTGCTGGTAGACTGCCCAGCTTCCTGGCCTCATGCTGGAAAGAAAAGGAGGAAGCAGAGTGGCCCCAGTGAGTGGCCTGTCCCCAGCAGAGTGTGGGGCCCAACAGCCCCCAGCTCCCTGCTCCACAAACAAAGCTACAGTGGATCTGGAAGTCCTCGTATTCCAGGGCCTCCACACCACAACCTCACCAGCCAATCCCAAGGGAACTCGTCCTCAGAGCAGCCTGACTTTCTGGGCAGAGGAGCCTTGGAGGGCACATTCCTGCTTTCTCTGCTGTGACGTGGTTGCAAACTCTGAGCTGACGTTGAACAACATGGGCTGGGCTTCTGCTTCCTTGGAAGAATGTGAATCACCAAGCCAGACTTCTCTGCCATTCCCAGGACTGTGCTGCCTTCCAGAGCCCTCCTTCCTGTGCTTTCCGGTCCCGTCCTGCCCATTGCGCTCTTCTGTCTTGCCTTGTTGCCTGGCCTTTTCTCCCCTCATTCTCATACTCTCTGTGTGACAGTGGAAAGCTGCATAACCTTTCTGTGTGGTGTTGTCCTAGCTGCAAAAAAGGGACCCATCTCCTGGGGCTTTGGGGTTCCTGTGGAGCCCTTAGGACATGCTCAGTTCTTCTTGGCTGAGGAATCCACTTTACGCTCTTCGAAAAGCTTTCTTGAGCTACTCCAGGGCACTCTTGACTCTAATGGATGCCCATATACCCTACCTCACCCTGTCCACCCCTCCTATTTTCTCAGCCTCTTTTTCCCCTTCAGGCAGTGAGCAGTAAATATGAGTGATGTGTGATAAAGATGCGTAAAAGGTGCCCACTCTGCAGGCCCCTGGAGCTCGCCCATCCATTGACCTTCCTTCCACCTAGGCTTGGGATCCCTGTTTTGTCTCTGTGTCTGAACTCCAGAAGGCTGGCCGGTCTTATGGCTTTTCTGCTCCTCTTGCACGTGTCCTTCAATGCCCAGCAGAGTTCTTACATCCCTCTGGCCAATATTTGGACACTTCTGTCATCTCTGAACGGAGGAGTTCTTTAGGTAAAAGTTTGTGAGAATGGGCGCCTGGAGAATGTGAAGACTGGTCGTTCTCTTTTGGAATCAGTGTTGATTGGCAGGTGCCATTTGTATCCACTGTGGAGCTGAGTGTGGCTTGGCCTGTTTTATCCTGGGCAGAGCCCAAGTTGTTGATCCTTTCCAAAGCCCCAGAGAATTAGGCTGAGCACTTGGGCTGGTTTCCATTTTCCTTGGCAAGGAGGTGCTGAAACATTGCTTAGGGCGCTTCCTTGGCCTCTCTTCCAGCAGCCTGCTGGATCACTTAGCCTCTGTGGGTGACGCCTCTTAGCTCTCCTCTCTCTGTAGTAACAGCATCCAGTGCAGTAGCATCAAGCAATCTGGCCTGGGCACAGAGGACCACTCTGTCCAGAGAGCCAAGAGAATTCCCTTCTTCCTGTTTACACTCTGCCTTAGCTTGCCTGGTGTGGCATCTTTCCCACCCGCGAGCATCACACTGGGTATCCATCAGTCTTGCTGCTGTTATTTCTCCACTCACCATATCCAGAGTTCATGTGGTTCCCCCAGCCCTCTCCCTTTCTCCTTGCTGTGATGAGACAGTTCTGACCTCCCGTGCCAGCTCCATGGTTCCCTTCCTCACTGGGAATGTCCTCTGCCCACCTTTGTACTGCTGCCCCAACAAGGTGCTCACTCCTGGAACTGGGTGACGAGTACTTCATAGCAACCAAGGCAGGTGTTCCCTGATAGCTGTCTGTCTGCTTCCCTGCCACAGGGGTCTTGCCCACCTCTTCCAGAGCAGTCCTGGCTTCTTCTGGGTCCCAGAAGCATTTTCTGGGGAGCACAAACCAGGGAAAGCCCTTCCCTTCTGCCTACAGATCACCAGCCTGGCCATGCTGTTGCTGCTTCTTATTTTTCCCTAGGCTAAACTGTCGTCTGTTTTCTTACTACTTCTTGATAAGCAGTCTAGCGTTCAGGTGCAGTGTAAGCTGCCTCAGGACATCTTGCCTATGTAGATGACCGAGTGCAGAGAGCCCTTATATGACCAAGGCCATTGTGTGGGTGGGTGGCCCTTCACAACCTCCATGTTGTTCAACTTCATACTGGACAACTTCACCTTTGAAGAAATTAAAGTGAAGTCGCACTTCTCAGCCAGAAGTCCATGATTTGGAGACAGGAGTGTGACTCTTGTCTGTGACCCCATCTCAGTGTCCCTGGAATGGTTTATCTAATAATTGGGTCGCCTCCAACCCAATCTGTCTTGGCAGAGCAGGGCTTAAAAGCTCCCTGGGGTTAAGGAAGTCAACTCTAGGTTGATGGTGGTCTATTGAAAAGACCAGCTCCATTTTCCTATAAGCAAGGCCCATGTACACAGCATTCCCTGCCCCACCCAGAAAAGGTGGGAAATAAAGACCAGCCCTCCCCACCATCTGCACAGTGCTCACGCACATCAGTGCAGTCTCAGGGGTCTGAACCGAGTATGGAAGTGAAACTCGGGGGGTGTAGAGGCAGGCCATGAGAACACAACTCAAGCGACTCGTTGGCACCAGTAATGATGCTACATTCTTTTTTCTTTTTCTTTTTTTTAGTGGGCTGGCATGAATTTGATAACTAACCATTTTGAGTCAGAGTACTCAGTATTTAATTGTGACCAGCAAACATTTTTAGTTATAATTTCTTTGTATACACGTAAGACTTGAAAGCTTTAGAGGGTCAGCAGTGAACTTCTTCCTCTGACCTAATTTTAGGGTTTTGGTGCCTTTGAAATATATGTTTCTATCAGCTATCCAAGTTTGTTGAAACACATTCATCACTACAAAAAGGGTATACAGAAGTCTTGGGTCCAGTTTGGTCTGGGGCCCTTCTCCTTCTCTTCTGTTCTTTTGGTGGGGGATCGAGGGGAACTGGGGTGACTTTGCCCCCACGTTTCAGAAGCTCTTTCTCCTTTTCTCACTGTAGCCAGATACTTAGAAGATGAACTGCTTTAGTAATATTTCATTGAGCCGTTTTAGACTCACTGTGTTTACACTTCCTGGACATTACTCACAAGTGTGTGCCCTCCTGCGGGCTTTCCACTTGCACGGTGTCGCATGGATGCAGAGGTCTCTGTAGCATGGATGCAGAGGTCTCTGTAGCTGGGTGCAGAGGTCTCTGTAGTTGGGTGCAGAGGTCTCTGTAGCTGGGTGCTGGCTCTGGAGGGATAAGTGGAGCAAATGGTCCTGTGATCGCCGGCAGCCTGTCCCTGGCATCTGCGTTTGCCGCAGCTTGTCTCTTGGCTGTGTTGGTGACAAGAGGAGGGCAGGCTTTGCTTGGTGGGGAAGTTGCTCTCATTCCTCTCGACTCGGATCCCACCCCTTTGATGAAGTAGAGATCTTTTGATGGAAAGCCTTCGGTAAAACCACCCTGGGGAGGTCCAGAGGAGAGGCAGCCAGGCTGATGTCATGGCCACCCTGAGCAGAAATTCAAGTCGTGTTTACTACATGACCCATAAATTCCATCTCTCAGAATAGTTCTGTGATAGAAAAGATTAGAATACAGACTAGTATCAATTCCCAGAGATGTTCTCTGCAGTGTTGGTTATACTAGCCCATACCTAATCAATCATAAGGGTATGGCTCAGGTAAATTATGAGAAAATAACCCATGACAGAATGTTTAAGGGAAAAAAATTACCTATACTGCTCAGGAGACTGAGACAGGAAGATCATGAACTCAAGGCCAGCCTAGGCTACACACAAAGCATGACCCTGTCTCAAAATAAATAACTTAATTAAATTAAATACCTTTTTGAGAAGAAATTGGACTATAATTCTCTGTATGCATTATGATATCAAATATGCAAGGGAAAGTACAAGGAAAATAAACAGGCGCATATGCCAGGCTGCTTGATGCAATTACGCTTTTAAATTTTTTTCTCCACATCATTCTGCACATTGCAGATTTTCTACAGAAGGAGCACACACACGTAGCTTTGATCCTCAGGACAGCAGAGTAATAAGCAGGGGGAAATCCTCCTCTGCATGCGATTATGGCAGCACCAGGATTTGGGAGGGTAGATGGCACGGGGGGCCTGGCTCAGATCTGTGAGCCATCTGGTCCCAGAGGGTGCTGGTGGGGATGGGGGGTGGGGGGCACTGTGGGACTGAGGCTGGAGTGGGACAGGCAGAGGCAGGTGTTTACCAGGAGGAGCCGACTTTGGCCAGAGTTGGAAACCCAATGCCTTTGGGGTCCTGGCAGGTGGTCCGAGTGGGCAAAGCTGTGCCCTATGGTGAGCGGGGCTGTGGCAAAGCACAGATGCCCTGCCTGTAAGAAGCGGCTGCTGCAGGGCCCATGTGACCAGGCCTTCCATTTCTTTTGAAACAGACAAGTCTCACTTTTTTTTTTTTTCAAATGACACCTAGTTGGCAAGCATTTCAACACTGTGTGCTGCACACTGCACAGAAGGACAGTTGACCAGTGAGTGGCCACTGGCCCCCTGCCCCCACCCTCTACCCCGACTTGGACTGAAAGGAGTTTCCTTTTGTTATTCCTGCAGAGAGCGAGCCTCCGTCCCCTCTGGTGTCTGGCATTATTGACTACAACATGCCCCTCACCTCCACCTACTTGAAGCAGATGAAGCTGCGAGTGATGAACTCTCAGGAGCAGGTAAGGTGCCTGCTCTCTGGGCGGGCTGACCTTGCCTGGCTGTGGCTGACAGAGTCTTTCCAGGACTGGGGACCACAGCGGCCTGTATAAGCAGGGGCAAATCAAAGAGACACTTATCTGGTCATCTGGCCCCACTGCCAGCAGAGAGGGTGGGAGCGCACCCTTCCTGGGGGTGTCTTTTGAAGTCTTAAAACTCAGCCTTGCCAGGCTTTCCCCAAGGACCTTCAAGGGAGGGGCGCTCCAGAACCACAGGCCTTGACTCTCAGGTCCTCCCCTCTGTCTGTTGCTTTGCTGGCTACTTGCCTGTGGCCACTGTCATTCTTGGGTCCTAGACAGGCCAGGAAGATGGGCCTTGGACAGTGGCCCAGACTAGATAAGGCCTTGGGGCTCCCTGGTTGTCCAAGACTTCCAGATGCGGTTTGCCAAGGGATGTCAGGCACCATGAAAACAAGCTCCGAAACTCCGCCTCGCTTGCGTCGACCCACACAGCCCATTTGCTAACCTCTTACAAAGCAAATAGCCTGTCTTTCAAAGAAAATCTGGGTGAGCACTGTCTTCTCCCTCTGCTGCCACCAAAATCAGGGCACTCCTTCCTCACCTCATCTCAAGTGCCCCCACCTCTGCTGATATCAAGTCCCAGAGGCTTAAAACTAAAGGAAGGGGAGCTTGTTCTCGCATGGAATCCAGGTCAGAACTCTGGGTCCATGCTGTTTTGTCTGCAAGTCTCCTTGAGAATGTGAACATGTGTCTGTGGGGTCGGGGAGGGGAGCATGAAAGGTGGGGAGCCTCCTGGCTGGGCCTGGATGTGGCAGGGTGAGCCTGTGCAGCAGCTGGGCCTGGGCTGCCCACTGTGAGCACTCACGCTATTTGGCTTGACCTGCAGAGCTGCCCCCACCCCACAACCCGGGTTCCCAGAGGCTAAAGGAAGGAAGCCAACTTTGCTCTGGGAGGCCAGCCTCTTGTGTCTGTGTTGACCCCTCATCCAACAGCACCTGTCCTAGATGGTTGCAGTCAAAGTCTGTGTGTGCAGGGTGAGGGAATGGGGGGCGGGGTAAGGGGATGGAAGGACGGGGGAGTTGGGGGAAGCAGGAGATGAGCAGAGCCTGCATGGTTTTTCTGTTGTGGGGTGGCAATCTCAGGATGTCACTGTGCTAATATTTAGGAAATCTCTGTCCTATTGCACAGATCCCTGGTGACTATTGAGGAGGAATCATGGCCTTTGTTTTCCTATAACTATCACAGTGTCACTTCTAACATATGAAGAGCCAGGCACAAAACTCAGACAGCTGAGAGCAGTGCCACATGGCCTCTTCTCTTCAGGGCAGGCAACTGGATCTGGGCGGCTGCTGGGGCCAATGCGGTCAGTGTGGTGTGCAGATGTGACCTCTCTTCCATGCTCCTGTCAGGTTTTATTTGGTTGTAAAATCTTACTCTAGTTTCCCTTGCATTGGTACAAGGAGGGGGTGGTGAGGGCTTAACAAAGATGGGGCCCTTCCTGTGAGCCAGGCTCTAGAGCTTAGCAGATGGGACACAGCGGTGCTGCTGTGAAGCTTGCCCTCCAGGATATGTGGATTTGGGTACTCAGGATGTCCAGCAGAGGGTCCGCGACAGAGTCAGGGAAGGCTTGCCACAGCAAAGGATGCCTCAGATAAGCTTAGATATGAAAGAAAGAAAAGTTCCAGACCTTAGGAAGAACCTACACAAAGGCCCCATGGTCAAGGGAGGACAGAGCCTGTGCGAGACAGAATGTGAGAAGTTCCATCGCTGATGGAGAAGGGGAGAAACTTACAGCCACAGTCAAGTGTTGGGCAAGTATCTAGCGAACCAAAACTCACAGACTGACTGTCCTGGCCTGACTCAAGCTACTCCCACAATAAGACTGCAAGAGTCGTTGTCCCCAGGTATTCTAGGAGCTGACTGCAGCTGGGACTGGGAGTGGGAAGATTCAGAATACCAGTTTCCCCTGTCTGTGGGAGAGGGGATCAAAGGGCAAACCCTCCTTGCATACTAGCGGGTGAAGCAATAGCAATATCCCACATTTCCTTGGGAAACGTCAATCTCCAGCACCCTCTATCCCCCTGCACTCCTCACCTCCCCGTGAACAGCAAGGAGTGTCAAGGCCTTGGTCTTCCAGGCAGCAGGCAGCACTATTGTCCCTGCTTTATGGCTGGCACAAGGGAAACAAGAAATCACTCTGCTCACCTGATTGTTTATCTACAGCAGCAAGGAAGGGGCCAAGGACCTGAAGTCTCTGATCCTCCTGCTTGAGTTGAAACTAAAAATACATATCCTTGCATTGGTAGCCTCTTCCTTACACAGTGAAGTCCGAGCAGGGTCCTCTCTTCCAGAACCTACCTTGGCCTAAGTTCTGCCCTGTCACGCCCCACATCCCAAGACAAAGCTTCACTTCATCACTGACCAGAGTGCCAATGGCTGACACCTGTAGTGTTGGCAAGCTTATAATGTGAGCTACGTGAAAGCAAAAGCAGTCAGTCCCCGATAATGGGCCAGGGTAGAAAAGGTCAATGTAATCATACACTTGGGAGGAGCAACTGCCCAATCATTCCTTTTGAGGGTTTTCCAACATTGCATGTCCAGGAGATAACGGGGAGGTAGGATGGTGCAAGAGCACCTCATCTTGTCTGATGAGATGGTGAAGACGGGCTGGGGTTTTCCTGCAGCTGGGTACTTAGTCCCTCTCCGTGTCAGATATTAGAAATATGGAACCCTAATACCAGGGGCTGACACCTGGCACCCCCACTACACTAAATGACACTCTCTACAGAGACCCCCCCCCCCAGAGCATGGCTCTAGTTGTCATCGAAGTGACCACAGTGAGCTGAAGCTATGGGGAATAGTGTCCTAAAAAAGGTATTATTTCCTGCTGGGGTGGCGGCCCATACTATAATCTTGGCACTTGGAGGGGAGAGGCAGAAAGACCCCAAGTTCAAGGCCAACTTGGGTTCAGAAACTCAAAACAAGAGGATTTTGCTTATCATGAACTGTTTTAGAGACAGGACTGAAGTCACACTTGGTTGTAGAGATGGTTAACTGTACTTCTTAGAGGAGGCAGGGAAGGGACATGCAGTGAGCTGTGAGCTCTCAGGGAACAGCTGGGAGCTTTCCTGACAGTCAGGTCCCAGGAAGGGATGCAGGCTACCCTGCAGGCCTGTGTCACCCAGTAGGTACCGACTGACCGATCAGTGTCCTGATTCCCTCCCAGAGGGTGCTGTGGGCACTGAGAACCACGCCCTATCTCATTGTCACAGAATAATCCATTTGTTGCCCTTCACCCTTTCTTATTTTTTCATCCTTTTATAATGAAATAACACACACTCTCTGTAGAAAAATCATTAGACAAAACAAAACACACACACACACACACACACACACACACACACACACACACCCAAAACACAAGATCGAGAGGATAGTGAAAAAGATCCCATCTTCCACCCAACCCTGTCCACTTCTACCCATTTTCAGGAGCACCTTGCTGGCTTTGCCTGGAAACTGGGGGGTGACGGCCTTAAAAGGGGAGATTAGAGCTGTCCATGCCTACCTTTAAAACCAGGGCTCAGGAAGATCTCTGCGTTCGCAGCCAGCCTGGTCCACAGAGTGAGTTCCTGGACAGCCAGAGCTCCACAGAGAAACCCTGTCCGGAAAAAACAAAAACAAAACAAAAAAGGGAATAATGAGGGTGGGGACACCAATGCGCATCTCTTCTAGATTGTGACTGCCACAGTGTCCACAAGAGGTCCATGTGCCTTCAGTGTCCTGGTTGTCCTGATTGCTCCTGAGATGCAGTTTTGAAGGGAGATCCTACTATGGGCGTCACAACTGGAAGCAGGGCCATCTTGCCCTCATCCCATATAAACTTTATCAGGTGGAACCCTACTTTATGCCTCAGTCTCCTCACCCCAGATTCTGTCCAGAGGGAAGACTGCACCTGTTTCTCCTCCCAGCAGTGCTAATGTCTCCTAATGGTTTTACTGTTCTCATAGCTGTGTGAAGTGGTATTAAGGTCTATTGTTCAGCCCAACCTGCTAGGGGCACCACTTTGCCTCCATTAACCTCTGCCTCCCTCTCTTTCATGCCACCCTAGTCCAGGGCAGACAGATGTTCAGAACAGACCCACCTCTACTAAGGGTATACACCTGGAACCTGCAGGCTCACTTGGGTTCTCCAAATGATTTCCCTCTTTGCCTGGAAAGCAGACAGCTGACCCTATTCCCAGTCAGGATTCCAGACTGCCACCCCCACTTCACCCTGGGTGACTTTGACTTCTCTGTCCTCCATTTTGTTCATTAATTACTTGAAAGTCAAAAGAATACACTTTCTGCATAGGTTCTTTTTGTTTGTTTGTTTCTTTGGTTGGTTTTTCTTTCTTTTTTTCTCTCTTTTTTTTTGTTTGTTTGTTTGTTTTTCAAGACAGTGTTTCTCTGTGGGGCAGTCCTGACTATCCTAGAACTCGCTCCTTAGACCAAGCTGGCCTTGAACTCAGAGACCCACCTGTCTCTGCCTCTCAAGTGCTGGGATTAAAGATGTGCACCACCACCACCTTGCTCTAAGAGATATTATTTTTAATTGTGGGTATGTGAACATGTGTTCTAGTGTCTGGGAAGCCTCCTGGAACCAGAGTTACAAGTGGTTGAGAATTGCCGATTAGGAATCAAACTTGTTCCTTTTTGAGAGCATTTCTTGACTACTGAGGTTTCTCCAGCCCCCCTTTTTATTTATTTTGTGTGTGCATGTGGGGGGAGCATTGTGCACCACGGCATTAGTGTAGAGGTCACAGAACACTTTCAGGACATGGTTCTCTCCTTCCACTGTGGGTCCTTGGGTTGAATTTAGGGTGTCGCCAGGCTTGGCAACAGCTGCCTTTACCCACTGAATCATCTTAGCACCCTTCTTTGTAAGGAAGCCAGGTGATGTGAAACATAGCAACCACTGGGCTGGGCACATCAGAAGCACTTTCCAAAGCTCTTTATTTCTTATTT